TCTACCTGCCTAAATACACAGAGGTGCTGCCATATAATATTTGATTAGATATTTAGTGGACAGTTGGACAGGTGTACCCACCGAGGTGGCCGGTGAGTTACTGTCACACAGGGTGTCTGCGCTTGAGCTGTGTGAGTAATTAAAATATCTTTTCAGATCGTCAGACGGACACTGTGATAAAAGTTAAAGGAAATGCCCCCACAGTAACTGTATCCTGGAAGAAGAAGAATGAGGAAGGAGAGGATGATGACACACAAACGACACTTGATGCAAGCGATCAGATGACTGGTTGTGGTAAGGATGTTCACTGGATGTTACTGCTGCATGACCAAAATCTTTCAATATCCTTTCTCCTCTGAAGTGTGCATGTGTAATAATATATATAAAAAAATAAAAGTAATAAAGTCTATCTGTTGCATTTCATACAAGATTTTTAGAGTGCTGCTTCCGATATGAAACATGCACCCCTTTCACTGATGTCACAAAAGATCCAGTCACAACAGTTAATTTATAGGATCTTTAAATGATGGCAGGTCTGCTTTTACTAGGTGAAGAGACTCCAATCGACCCCAGCCTTTGTCAAAGTATTTTCAAAGACATAAATATTATTCTTCAAATGATAAAAGCTATTGCATGCTATAAAATTGTGATAACAGGTGTTTAAGACCAAACCCTCCAGAGACCACGAAGCCTCAGCTGGCAGAAGTAGTTGTGTTTTATTGGCTGTGGCTCAGGAGGTAAAGCGGGTCGTCTGCCAATCATAAAGTTGGCAGTTCACTCCCTGCCTCCTCTGGTTTTCATGTCGGAAGTGTCCTTGGGTTGGATACTGAACCCTAAGTTGCCCACACTGCATCCATTCACCCAGTAACCGTGTGTGTGTTACTGGGTGAATGAGGCTTTTGGTAAAAAAAAGTTCTTAGAGTGCAGTTAAAGTAGAAAAGTCCATTTAACATCTGTAATACTTTCTGTCCTGTGCAGTAAATGGGAAACAAAAAGCAGTTAAGAATCGCCCATCCAAGAAATCGAAGGTCAACAATGACGGTGAGAACTCATCTTTATCTTGTACATTACCTCGTATTCCTGGAGAGGCTTTGCCTTCACATATTTCATCCCTTTGTTCTTCTTTAGGATTTCGTATTTGTGTTGGCAACCTGAACAAAACTAAAACCTATCAAGAAGTCAACGAGTCACTAGAAAAATACTTCATGTCGCAAAGCCTTCTGTTTCAAGACATCCAATTAGACCAATCCAGGTGAGTGTTTCTGTTTGTTTCTTTGTTTATGTGATTAGTTTTTTCATGTTAAGTCCTCTAAAAGGTGTGATGAAAAACCTCTTTGCCTGTGAAAGCAACAAATGTACCTGATCTGAATTTAACGGTCTTCTCCTGCACTGTGGGACAAATTCCAGTGTTATTTTTAGGTTGCTGTGAAACGTATCTACATTCTCAAAACTGACCTAAAATTTGCACAATATTCAACTTTTGTGTTAACGTAACTTAACAGTTGTGCTGAGGGTCATTGCTCATAAAGGGACCCGACTTTTTGGTTAAATCACAAAGACAAAAATGTTCAGCATGTAGCTGCTGTGTTAAATCTAAGCTGTAAGTTCATGGATAAGGAGAAAGGTGGTTCGTCCTGATGACATACCTGTGGAGGTGTGAAGATGTTGGAGAGAAGGCAGCAGACGGTTGTTTATATTGTTTAACACAATTCTGGAGAGTGAGAGGATACCTGAGGAATGGAGAAGTGCACTGATACAGATTTTCAAGAATAGGGTTGATGTTGCTGCCTGTAGTAACTACAGAGGGATAAAGCTGATGAGCCATACCAGGAAGATATGAGAAAGAGTTGTTGAAGCTGTGTCAAGGAGAGCGGTGATGATCAGTGAGCAGCAGTATGGCTTCATGCTGAGAAAGAGCACTACAGATGTGGTGTTTGCTTTGAGAGTGTTGATTGAGGAGTTTGCAGTGGTGATGGACAGGCTGACAGTTGAGAGTGCATTATAACTTGTCAAGTTAACAAGTTGCATATTTAACACTTCATAAAAGCCCCCAAAAATTAGCAATGTGGAAAATGAAAGTATGCACAAGAAAAACTTCTTAGAGTTGCAAAACCTTTTCTTTGCCCCTCTTAAAAAATATTTTCTGTGTTTTGTAAATTTTGCTTCTAGATGAAATAACTGATATGAATGTGTGCTGTTGCAGGAAACATGCTTTTGTAGATTTGGCCACCGAAATGGACTTGACGAAAGCGTTGGCGTTAAACGGAGAGATCCTTCTCGATAAGCCAATGAAAATCACCAAAGTAAAGATCACAAGTGAGGACAAGGCGAAGGTGAACGCAAGCTCACTGGACAAAAAAGGTAAAATAGTACTGTTAATTGATATCAGACATGAGTTTTTCTGGGTTGTTTATTCTTAAATAATCTTCATTTGGTTCTTATTTAGTTTGTTATTTAATTTTTCTTGCAATATTTCCTTATTTGTTAGTTTAATTTGCTGTTTTTATTAAGAGTTTTATTGTCTCATAATTTTTTCTTTGCCTGACTTCTGCATCTTTCCTTTAGGTCAAGTTTACTGTTGTCTGTGTTTTGCTGTTTAGTTACAGTTCTCACTTCCTGTTTCGTTTTGATAGTCACTTCTTTTGTTTATCATCTACGTCCTTTGAAAAATTCCTGATAATTTGCAGCTGTGTTTAGTTGCCTTCCTGTTCCCCTTTCCCTCATTACTGTCTGTGTTTTTATAGTTTCTCTCTCTCCCCTTGGTTGCTTGTTGTCTCATTGTGCCATATAGCGTTAAATGAGAGGACTCAAATACACTCTCTGCAGACAGACTTAGGCTACGTCCACACGTACCCGGGTATTTTTGAAAACGCAGATTTTTCTATGCGTTTGCACCTTCCGTCCACACATAAACTGCGTTTTCGGTCACTAAAAATGGAGATTTCTAAAAACGCCTGCCAGGGTGGATATTTTTGAAAACTCAGTTTTTGCATTTACGTGCGGACGAGAAAAACGGAGAAAACGCAGCGTCAAAGGTGTGCGCATTTTTTCACGTCACACTGTGCGCCACGTTATTGTTTCCGTGAAATGAATTTCTACAATACTGTTACTGTTAATTGTACTCTGTGCAGTGTTTAAATGCTTACATATACACACACAGTTACTGTCCCTCCACGCATATGACTCGGTTCTGCTTCTGCCCCAGCTTTGTTTACTTTTTCCCACCGAGGCTTCTAGACTTCTGATTGGCCAACATTTCTGCACGGTTAGGAATATATCGCCACCTGTTGCTTTGGCATGTTCCTAGCAGCGTTTTCCTTCATTTCTGCCTTTACGTGTGGACGGGATTATTTTTTGAAATGAAAACGGAAAATCGACGTTTTCAAAAATACCCGTGTACGTGTGGACGTGGCCTTAGTAAACAGAAAGCACCGCTGTATTGGTGAGGTGGGTTGTCCAAAGAAAATGACAACGTCCTCACAAATTCCATCAAAGAAAAAAGTAAACTTCGGGACTCAAATTACTACAGGAATAGAAGATGAAAAAATAAATAAACAAACAAGAATACAAAGTCCATAAGGTGAAAAACCTTGACCAAAACCCAGGACGATGGCGGTTACCACATTTTCTATCTCCTGCAGTAAATGGTAAAAGGAAGGCAGAACCGGTCATTGAGGATTCCCCATCAAAGAAAGCAAAGCACATCAATGAAGGTATGAACTCATTACTGCTTGTCTTGTAAGATATCCGGTGATCCTGAAGACGCCTTTACACATCTCGCTGCTTTATTCCTCTTTAGGATTTTGTCTTTTCGTTGGTAACCTCAACAGCTCTAAAAATTCTGAAGAACTGAAAGAGTCACTAGAAAAATATCTCATGTCACAAAATCTTCTGTTCAAAGACATCAGATTGGACCAATCCAGGTGAGTATGTTTTCTTTATTTATGCTTTATTTTTTATTTTCATTTTATTTATTTAGTTTTTGCTGCTACATAAAATACATAAAGTGATTTTCTGCTGTTACAGGAAACATGCATTTGTAGATTTGCTCTCAGAAATGGACTTGACTAAAGCCTTGACATCAAATGGGGAGGTGCTGCTCGATAAACCAATGGAGATCGCCAAAGCAAAGATCAAAAGTGCAGAAAAAGTGAAGGTGAAATCTCCTGAACTAAAAAAGCAAGGTAAAAATGACCAAATAGATTTGTTTAATGTGTGTTGATTAAATTAATGAACTTATTATCGAACTTTAAGAACGTGCATTTGTCACATAGTATAAGAGATGGATCTGGCCTCTGGTAGTGAAAAACCAATGTGGAAGTTCCTTAAGCCTTCCAGTCCTATAGGAATCTGTGGCAATGGTCATTAGCAGGAACCTTTGTAAACACTTTCTTAGTGAGCTTAAGATATAAAACATTGTGAGGATCAAAATAGTAATATAAGCTTTATATATTAAAAAAAGTGGAACTTTCCTGTATTTTTGCAGCCAGAGATGCCAGATGTTTGTTTGTAAAGAACTTGCCTTACAACGCAACGAAGGAAGACATTCTGAAGATCTTCCACAAGGCCATCGCCATCCGGTTTCCTGGTGGAACTGAAGGCCCAACCCAAGGGTGAGAGTTTTGAACAGGAAGTTGTCAGATGAGGAAGTCATTCATTACTTGTTTATGCTTTGAAAGGGAGACCTATTATGCTTTCATGTTAGAATGGTGGAAGTTTATATTAAAGCTGAGATTCTAATGATGAGGTCATAATGTGTACAAGTGAGCCAAAAGTTGAAGCTTGAATCTGCTTTAAACTCGTAGTATGATGGCGCCACCAAGAGGGGATATCCTTATATGGTCCTCTTGCAATGGCTATGGCAAAAGCCCCACCCACCTGCTGTTTAATCCTTTTGTTTATGACGAAGAGCCAATCAGAACCAGGTTAGCGTAAAGGCTGTTAGTGAATGCGCTAAGGCGTAGTATTAGATCATTAAGGGTATTTTTAAAAGGGAATCAGGCAAAGCTTTCTACGAGAGTTCAAAGAGATAACATTAAAGATATTAAGCTTAAAATTAATATAATAGGTGGATTTTTAAAGATTGTTTATAACAAGTTCTAAATGAAATGTCTTTATTTTTCAACAGAATTGCCTTTTTGGAGTTCAAAAACACAGGCATTGCTAGGAAGGTACAGAAGCAAAAACAAGGAGTGACGATCCGAAAGAGGGTTTTGATTTTGAGCTGTGTAGGAGAAAAAGGTGTTTGTAGAGTCACTAAAGCTGATGTGGAAAACAAAAGGAAAAAAGGTAAATGAAATCAGTGAAGCTGTTTGAATATTCTTTTTTAGTAAATTTAATGTAGACTTTGCATGTTCTGACCTCCTTACAGATAAAAAGGCCTTGCAGTCATCCCAAAATATTGAGGCCGGCAAAAAAGAAGCCACAGAAGAATCGTGTGAAAAGCCAGAGAAAGCAAAGGGTATCATCTCATTATCTTGATGTTATCAGATTGGCTGCTTGATTACAGAAGTTTGAGTAAAACAGCGGCGTTAAATTATTAAATGTTTCTTTTCTAGTCCTGTCAAAAACACTGATCGTCATGGGCCTCGCTGAGAAAACGAGTCCAGAGATGCTCAAAAGTGTCTTTGAAGGTGCCGTCAACGCAAGAGTCACTGTAAATAAGAAAGACGTTTCAAAGAGGTCTGTAGTGCGAAGCTGTCTCTTTACTGTGTTAACTGCTTAAACTGAGTTCACGATTCTCACTTGGATGCGTTTTACATTTCATTTTCGTCAGGTTCGGCTTTGTGAACTTTGGCAGCGATGAAAGTTGCAAAGCTGCCAAAGAGGCTATGGAGGACTGCGAGCTAGATGGCTGCAAAGTGACTATCGCTTACGCATATCCCAAGGGTAAAAAAAGTCGGCGAGCCTAAGGAGGCTTGGAGGGGGATCCCGATGGAAAATCTGCAAGTCTGTAAGCTGGCAAAGAAGGAAGAAAGTTGACAGGTGGAAGAGCGAGGACAGGAGGAGGACTTTAGCTTCACTGTAGCGCTTTACTGTCTTTTACTTCATTGTTTTGTTTTTGTTTTGCTTCTTTGCTCAAACCTTGAATTAAATCCACTGTAGTCCACAGAGTTTTTCTTCTTGTTTTGTTAGTGAGTACAACTTGATGATGCTATTTTCACTTTGGGTTAAATTTTCTACACCGACATGAAAAGTATGTAAAGAATAATGTACCTAATTCAAATCCAGTACCAAAAAAGTTGGGCCACTGTGTAAAATGTAAGCAAAAAAATAAAATCTGATGATTTTCAAATCTCGTAAATCTATATTTTATTCAGAGTAGAACAATTCAGTGCATTTTTATTTTTATATATCGCCAAATCACAACAACACAGAAAAAGAACATAGAAAACCTGTCAAATATTTAAACTGAAGACATTTATCATTTTAAGAAAGAAAAATCAGTTTGAGTTTGACGGCAGCAACGTGACATGCTCGTGTTTACCACTGTGTAGCATCCCGTCTTCTTTAAGCAACAGCGCATAAACATCTGGGAACTGAGGAGACCAGCTGCTGAATTTGGGAGAAGAATGTCGTCCTATTGTTGTCTCGGTGATTGTAGCTGCTCAACAGGCCAGTCCAGATCGTCACTATGGAGCTGTGCTGCTGTAATAGATGCAGCACGTGCTTTAACATTATCCTGCTTAAGTATGCAAGACTTTCCCTGAAAAACACATCTTCTGGATTGGAGCATATGTTGCTCTAATACCTGTATATAGCTCTCAGCATTGATGGTGCTTTTCTTGATGTGCAATCTGGCAGTTCCAGAGCACTAATGCACCCCCATACCATCAGCGCTGAACTTGCTGAAGCTGAGAGAAGACGACAGTAGTGCCGCCTGAGGTCCATTCACAGATAGTGTATTACAGTTTGCACACACACAGATTTCTCCAGATTATTTTGAAGATATTATGTACTGTAGATGATGAGATATTTAAAGAATAGAGAATTTCAGAACGGTGAACCTCTGCCCATCTTTACGTCTGAGAACTTCTGCCTCTCTAAGATACTCTTTTTAAACCCAATCATGTTACTGGCCTGCTGCTGATTAACACAATTCATTTTAAATTGTTCCTCCAGGTGTTTCTTTTTAGTACCGCTTAATCTTTTAGCCTCTTGTTGCCCCGTTCCAACTCTTTTAAAACATGTTGCTCCCATAAAACTCAAAATGACATCATTTTGCATTTGGTGCTCACTATGGACCGACTTTGTTTTAGACAATCATTCTGTGCGTCCGCCTGATGATCTGATGACTTTTACAGGTTTTAACAAGCGCCGTGCTCGCTGCTGGGTTTGGCATTCTGAGGGAAGGATAGAGCAAAGCAGGCAGAGCTTTAGTAGATCTGCAGAGCTTTTTGGAGTAACACTAACAAATTTAAGCTGTTTACACACATTGCTGACCCGCAACAAGCTACATGACTGAGCTGTGCCCAGCTTGCACTTTGCTTGGTGCTGGGACAGGCTGCTGTGGCAGAGTGAAAAATGGCATTGCACAACATGTGCCAGACTACAAATGGAAAGCTTGCAGTACTACAAATCTGCAGAATCATATGTAGATATATTCAAGACAACAGACTAAGACTAAAAAGTTATTCAGCTATTATTAAACTTAAACTAAAACCTGTCCAGATAAGGATTTAATTTGGAGTTTACTTTTTTACCATTTTGTGCTTTGACCTCAATTTTAATTGGCTATTTAGCTTTGATTCAGATCAAATGGAAACTAAGTTTATGTATATGTTTGTTTCAGGAAAAGGACGCAGAGGTGGATCGCAGGATGCTGAACTTTGCATATATGACTTCTTTTCTCTTGATTATAAGCCTGTGTGTTTCTGTAAAATGGTCAATACTCGCGCATCTGACAGCTTTAAATTCAGTTGTCATATTTTGTACTTTAAACCGTTCATCTTATAAATATATAAAAACTCATGAAAGAAGCCCGCCTTGTTGTCACTCGTGTAACATGTCATTTCATGTAAAAACGTTTATTACGATTTGATAAGATGATGAAATAGATTTTGAAACAAAACCAACTTTTTTTGTGTGTGTTTTATTTTTAACATCTGCAATAAAGAGATAAAAAGTTAACTCGGTGAAACTTCAGCTTCTTCGCGGCCTCCGTCCTGAAACAACACCACCCTCAGGGCTAAACGTGCCCCAATATCAAACCACGAATAACCAGTCTGAATACTGCGAGTCAGTCTTGCACACGATTCGTTGCAACTTGCAGAAATTCGCCCCAAAAGCGGTGTCCTTCAGTGACCTCACATCCTGTTTTCCCCACTTCCTTGTAAATGGACCGGTTTGGGACGGTCCGGGTCGCCTCGCAGCGTGGATCTCCTGCTGTGTCCACCGCGCGTTTCTCCAGACACCCGCTGCACGATCCGCAGTGTTTGCGGGCTGCAGAGGGCATCCAAGCAAACTTTAATGCAGCAGCACCACCATGCAGGGTCTGATCTGATCCAGCATAGAGAGAGGAGGCATCGGTAAGTCGGCAGCTCGCATGAATCCACGCTTGTTTACGCGATGATTGTAACGTTTTTGGACGCTTTCAGCAAAAAATGCGCCAAATCTCAGTTTAGCGGCAGCTTGCGAAACTTTTTTGACGACTTTGATCCATGTTGGTGAAAGTTAGTGAGACTGGAAAGTGCTTTGCGTCCACTGATCATGCCCGATAGGCTGTGATTAAAACCGTGGAAATCTGTGTTTTTTCTCCTCTTACACTCAAACATCAACAGTTGAAATTTTTGCAGTTAAAGCAGCGCGTTTATCGCTTTGGTTGTCGGATTTGTTAAATATGGCTCAAGTGGGGCTGGCATGTGCTGGAGACACCTTTTAGAGGATTCACACACCTGGGTCTGTGTGGGCTGCATGTGCAGAAGGGTTTAAGCTGTCATGTTGCACATGTGTGCACAGCTCGGCCAAATCCCTGCTACACATTCAGGACTGGCTTTGATTTGATTTGGACACTCCAATATATTTAAGATCAAGCTGTTGGGAAGCCATTGCTTACATAGAGTGTCAGATTCTTGCAGAGTGCAGCAGTGTTTCCGTTTTATTTATTTCATATCAGCCCCTACAAGTTTTCCTGGCACAGAGAAGCACCATATGTTCACTTTTAGTGACTTTTTAATGGCAATAAAGTGGTTTTATATAAAGATAAAGGGAAAGTTAAAGGAAAAGCCAATATAAAGGCTGTTGGTAAGGTGTTTGGACAGAGCTGCTTTTATGCACATCTGCTGGTTGTCCACAAACTCCACTGGAGGAATTAACAACTTTAGCTAAAATATATTGTCTCATATCAGATCTGATAACTACGAAGGGTGTAGTTTATGATTTCTAACCTTATCAAATCTGGAAGAGACCAATCTCATCTCTTATCATCTTCATTTATGCACTCTACTTGGTTTCTGCTCCTTTACCATGAATTTGTGCATCTGTGACCACCACCAACCACCACCGATGCCAGCAGATCACAGACTGCAGAAACTTTACACTGGATTACAAACACCTTGGGTTCTTTGCCTCTCTGCTCTTCATCCAGACTCTGTGCCAAGTTTACTTCTGTTTTAAAAGAGGATTTTGGACCGCTGAGCAGTTCATTTTCTCGTTAGCCCAGGTAAGACATTTCTGAATCCCTGGTTCAGGTGTGGCTTACTATTATGACTCTCGTTGCTCCTTTCCTGAGGACCTCTGTACCCGGTAGCTGTAGATGCAGTTCACTCCTCTTGAAGCTCTCCCAAGTTCTTGAATTAACTTTTCTTCACAGTCACCTTAAGGCTGAAGGTGCTTGTGCGCCTTTTCCCTTCCAGTCAGCTTTCCGTTGATATGCTTCTATACCGCACTCTGAGAACAGCCAGCCTTTTAAGCTGTGACCTCCTGTGGTTCACCCTGCTCGTGGAGGATGTCGATGATCATCATTTGGGCAACTGTGAAGTCAGCCGGCTTCCCCATGATTGTGGTTGCGTGTACTGAATTAGAGGTACACAGTATTTACACTGTTTAAATAATAATTCACTCAAACCCCAAATGAAATCTTTGAATACTTTTCATTCAATGATTCTTTGAGCTGTAAACTCTGAGTTATCACATTGCAGTTTCTGTATAGCGAGTCTAGAATACGTAACAATTTCACTTTCTTAAATAACTGATAGAAAACTTTGAATTTTTCCAAAGATATTGTGAGTTTTTGAGATGCACCTGATCAGATCAAAGACTTGCATGTTAGGATAAGTTTGATTTTTGTCATAGTAAAGCTGAGGTCTATTTGTTTTCCATTTTTAAATTAAAAATTTTCCATGGAAGAAAAAAAATGCACTTTAATGTTAAACCTTTAAATCAAAATTGCAAGGAGTGCTAAATGAAAAAGTACATTTTAAATAAGTTAATAAGTTAATAAGTACTGTATTACAGACATGGAGCTCTTGATAGGCCAGGTCAGGTGGATGACACACAGAAAACTGCAGCTGTGACTGTTTTTGAACTTAACAATAGTGCAAAGGTTTCTGTGTATATTGCGGCCTATCATGCACTGATTGTTGCTTAATACTATTCTTATATTTATTATAAGTAATTAACAGATGTGTTTGAACTGGGGTCATGCAGAGTGAGTAGGATTATGATGTTCAGATTACACACTAATGTCTGTTTTTAGTACATTCCTGATTGTTGATTTGATAGATAAATAAAGCAAGTGTATAAAGTGCTTCGAGTCATATTGAGTGCATTAACAATACTGTTCCGGCAAACTTGAAAATCGGCAACATTAAGAATGAACTGTCAGGACTTAATGAAGGTAGATGTTTGCAGAAGAATCACAAGAGGCTTGGAATACGTTGGAGCATTTTTCAGTTCAGGCGGGTTCGATGACAGCTCATTCTTCCACACAGACACCTCATCGGTTATCTCACGGATACGATTTTTGTCCTTGTCGTGATGTTGTTTGACTTGTATCTAACTTTGTTTTCATCTCCAATGATGAAAAGCCAAATAGGAAAAAATAAATAAATAATAAATGGCTGACTTCATTATTAGTTTAGGTTGCTATCTCTTGAGAGACTGTAAAAT